TTCAATAGCTTATGCAAAAACAATTCTGCCATGAAATCTCAGCTTTTATTTTCTACTTTAAGTGCCGAATTAACATATCCCTGGCCTGCACCTGTTAAATCCATGTCATCACCTGATTTGGTGTTAACCAATCTTTTTGCTTATAAAATTGCAAATCAATCAGACTGAACTAAGGGGTTATATGGAAAGCATAGCTTCTATTTAAGGACTCCTAGAAATGCTTTAAAGGAGCTTTGGGTATAGTGAGTTAAGTGCCTGGCTGTTAATCATAAGGTTAGTGGTTCGGACCCACCAAGCCATTCTGTGGGGGGTGGGGGAGAATAAGGTGGCCTGCTCCATTAAGATTTACAGGCTTGGAAATCTGATGGGACAGTTCCACTCTGTTCTGGAGGGTTGTAACGACTCAGAATCAACTTGACCAGGGAGGGTGGGTGGGTTTAGAAATGTCTTATTATTAACATTGGTGAGTCTGGCTAATTATTTTTCAAAAGAGGGCCGACGACGTGAATATATTTCATCTGCTTAAGTGTTTTCCACTGTGAACATCTAGCTGAGGTTCTGCAGGCTGATGTCTCACCATCAGTTAAAAATGTGACTGCACTTTCTCCTACTTAGTATAACGGAATGGAATCTTAAGCATGAAAGATGTCTTGTATAGTATGTCAAAATGTTGAGCAATATCGTTTCAATCTAAACACAGAAATGAAAAAAGAGCAGCTGATTTCCCTTTTGCTGTAATTCACTTTGGGATGCATGTCATGAAGAGCACTATACAAAAGCAATTTTCATTGATTGACTGACTGATTGAGGAAAGGGTGGATGTTCTTTCAGATTATGCCTCTTCTGAAGCATGACTCTTACAGCTCCTGACAGCGCTTCACAATCTGTAGTTAAACGCCATGTTAGCAACAACAACAACAACAACAAAAAATTCCAAAGTAAAACAAAACAGAATGAGAACTATTTTGGGCTTTTGGCTTAAGCCATATTCAAACAGAAATGCTTTAATTCTTCCATTCAATTTATTTATGTTTTAGAGACTGAAATTGCTAAAAATTAATGAAATCATTGCACAATCTGCTCAGTAATACTAACATGCACATAATTTTCTTTCTGCTTCTGTAAAAAGTGCTACTCTTCTGACAGTAATTCACTTTAGCTGAAATTCTGAGTTTGAGAGGTCTCAGTGTCCATTTAGTTTTAAATTAATTACTCCTATCTCTCAAATGCACTTTTAGTTTTGTAAAATATGCTTCTTCATTTAGCTATTTTGGGCAATTCTCTTAGTCTGTGATATAATGAATGCAAATCTACGGGCTTCAAATGTAAAAACTATGGCCAGTGATGCAACTGAAAAGAAAACAAAACCGTAACAGAAAAGTTATCTTTAAGATTAAAAGATCAACACTGAATCACTGCTACTGTTGGTCTGTTCTTAAATATTTAGCTCATTCTCATAAGGACATAAAAGCACTTGGAAATTTCCCTCTTAACTTATGTATGTAAGTTTTTCTCAACTGCTAAGTCAAACCAATACTGTTAAGGCAATAATTATTACTTGAAATAGATTTTTTTTACAACAGGTCTCCAAATGGTCTGATTTTTAATGCTTGTAAAGTCAAATTTGTTTGCAAAATGTGGAAGAGGGATTTTGGGGTGAAAGTTTTAAAACATGTTGCAGATATAGAGCTGAATAGTGGGTATTAACAAATACACTTTCAGGTGAGGCACTTAAAAAAATTTCTCAGAGGCTGCTTCAATGCAAATACAAAGGCCTATAAGAATGTTCAAAAGCTTTTATATAGGTTCACGGCTGGTTTTTTACTGAAACATGAAGAGGTAACTTTTTAAAGTTTGGACCTGAAGGGATAACTACTTACAATTTGGACCTGACCCGCTTCATGCAGTTAGGCTTCTAACAAAATGGGCCCAACTGGGGGTGGGGCAACTCCAACTAGTAAATAATTGCAACATCATTGCATCAGTTTAGTTTAAAGAGCTGACAAACCCTCTCTAAAGTCCAACACAATTAGTCATTAGGGTCTAGTTTTTCAGCACTGTTAAGCAATTTGTAACCCATTCCTTTTAATAGGGTTAGGCATTACTTAACCGACACAGATGCCTTGAAAACTGAAACCTCGAGTTATGAAGCAGCAACCTTGTTCATTACCTTCTGTGATAGGCAAATCATCTATAAAAAACAGCATTTAATGGGCAATCAATGAATAATCAATGGCTTACTTTTCATCTGAGTGTGAAAATGAGAATAATCTAATACAGAGTCCCTGTGGTAAGAGGATAGATCTTGGGTTCTGCTGCTCTTCAGTGCTGATTTATACGGCCACGGGAAAGCTGATGTAAACAGATGATCAATGGGACCCATCCCTGCTCATAATAACCCCCAACTGGCCCACTCCCTCTTTTCCAAGTCCATCCCTTCAGGCTATTAGCTCTGTCCAGCTAATTCTTCCCACTACTCCTGCCTGCTGCTTTTACTCTGGCCATCCGTTCAGTCCAGCCGACTCAGAAGTAATTTTATACGCAGCAGAGAGCGGGTGGAATTGATTTTTCACTCAGCGCTCAGTTCCCATCTGAATAATTATCAATTTTACTGCCTCATAAAGGGAAGAGTCAAAATTTCAAATCAATTCAAAAGAGCTTTTGAGACGATAGAAACTGTGCATAAGAATAGAGGTCAAAGTTGTCAGTGACCTAAGGAGATGATGTCAGATATTACTATACCCAGTACTTGACATCAGAAGCACTCAAGATGATATAACCTAGTGCTAATGCAAATCATACTTATGCTGACTATCAGAGACCAATCATTAATATTTAAAATGCTATCTGAAAGCTTACATTCCAAATAAATAGAATAGATTCTACTGTTAATAAAGATATATCACTACTTAGCCATATGCTATAAAGTGAAGGATTACCAAGTATTATTAACACACAGAAATTACTTAAACCAACAAAGGTACAGTAATATTGAGTAAAGACAAACCTGTTTCCTGCACAACCACATTAATTGCTCTGCAGTCTGGGGAAATTTTGTCTAGCCTCATAATCTATTGATTTTTGCTAAAATTTTCTACCAACTTGAAAGTTTTTGCCAGAGTCTATGGGACAACACTGTAATTATGGCTGAGAGTCTGTGCTGGTGAACTCTTTGGTGGTGGACTTGTTGCTTATCAGGGTGAGAGAAGGCTGGGTCTGATTACTAGCCAATCCATGAGCATTTCTTTTCCTCCAGCAGCTAGATGCTTTCTGCCAGTGGTTTTCAATCTCTCCCATGTCAAAACATCTGAGGGCTCTGCCATACTCCCAAACATATCAGGAGGGTGGGGAAAGGAGAGGAAGGGTGCATCCAACTCTGGACAGCACACATATTTGAAAAGTTCTTCTGGGTGAATCTGAGACGTTATTCCCAGAAACTATCTGATAATCAATAGTGTACACTGGTCTTCTGAGCTACACCGACCCTGGTTCAAATCCCAACTCTACCACTGTCCAGTTCATCTCAGTTTACCACCTGCAAAATGAGGGTGATATTCACATTCAGGGTTATTGTGGGGCCTAAAAGGGAAGATTTCTCCTAGGTTCCCCTCCTCCTGCGTCACGAAATTAATCTAATTGCCATGTAAGGGCAGTGTTACTTGTCTGTCTTACGTGAAAGGATATGTCCTATGGAGAGATAACAGGTTTTTATTGTCGTAATGATTCTTGAACCTTGAACGTAGTAGGACTTCAATGTGTGTTACCTTTCTCTCCCTTTACTGTATCACCAATATCATAACAATCCCAGGGTCAGACCACATTAGTCTAAGCTGGTGTCCTTACTCTAGTTACATAACATCTTAATTGCCTCCACCTCCATAAAAAAGAACTGGGTAGCTGGAACATCATGACTGAATCATCTAAATATTAGCAAAAAATTGCATGCTTGTCTAATTTTATTTGCATCACTTTCTACCGAAAGTGGCATTCTTCTGCTGACTGCAGGTGACTTCGTTGTTAGTTTAGGATCATGCAGAGAGACACGAATTTATGCTTTAGCAAAAATAAAACAATTGAAAACAATGTCAAGATCTTATCCTCCAAATTCAGTGAAATAAAAAAAATCAGTGATGTTATCTTCATAGAAAAATGGTATTATCTTTAAAACATTTCCATATATATGCTTCATTTTAAAGTATAGGCTGTTATGATAATGATAGAAATATTCTTTTCTTCCCAATGGCAAATATAGACCTAACTCACAGTAGTCAGTAAGAAAATATTTTTAAAATATAGAAAATAATTGTGGTTTTGTTATTGATTGTTGTTGCTGATTGCCATTGAGTCAAGCATGACTCAAAATGACTTTATGAACAAAAGACCTGAAGCCTTTCCGTAACTATCATTTCTCAGAGTTCATAGAGTTTCCAGAGGCATGTTGTTTAGGAAGTGGATGCCATTTCTGCTTCCAAATGTTATTTATTAGTCAAACTAATTATCTTAGGAACCCTACTAACCTATCTGAACTTTGATTTCCTTCTTCAAATGGGGTAAGTACTGACTATAACATGATGAATGGTGAGTTGCCAGCAAGTCGCCTGATATAGAGCAAAAGGTCAGCAAAAGGTGCTATGTGCACCTGGACACACTGAGGTAAACTTACAATAACATTGTTATTATGATGACACTGGGAGGGGCTGCAGGAATGAAAGCTGAGGTTGACTGCTTCCAGTTTCAGCTTAGCCCTATCTATTTACGCAGTCTCCAAGAGAAGGGCCTTCTTTGTGGGTTCTGGTTTCAGTGATGCAAGAATGAAGCATGATTTTTTGAGAGCGGGTTAATCCTGAGGCCAGTGTGGGATTCTACTTTCAGGGACAAGATTCCTTGAGAAAATCTTGTAATAAGCCTTGGGAAGAAGAGTTTCTCTATGAGATAATCAGGGAGCAGGCTGGCTTCTGCGAAGCTCTGTTTTTTACACCAGGTGAACCACCATTAGTTACCTGTTGTAGGACATCTGGGTTTTGCTGCATAAAATGTAACAGTCGCAGGCCGGCCTCGGCAGCCTCTCTGCTTTGAAGCGGTTTCTTGCCTTCTTTTGCTATGTGCTTGAAGAGGTAGGTGACGATGTAGTCTAAACTGGTACAGCAGCTGGAGGAGACAACTGTATCTACACAAACAATAAATGAGAATTGATTCACATTGCTGAAGTGATTGTTCCATCTGTTAATTACAATCTTTCCATTAAGACAATATCACTTTCTGGGTTTAAAGTACTTTTACCAAATAAGTTCCTTTAGGGCAAGGATATTTGCCTTGTTTATCTCCTTAAACCTAATGTCTACCATAAAGACATACTAGTAAGTATGAATATTGAATAGAATCTTCCACTAACGACTTAGAAGTCTTCACAACCCTCTATTTAATTTAAGTGACTTTATTATCTACCAGGGAGCACTGGTTGCCTAGGGGATAAAGAGTTGTACTGCCAATCCAAAGGCAAATAGTTTGAATCCACTAGCTGTTCCATACGAGAAAGATTGGCACTCTTCTGATATGTGATTTACAGCCTCTGAAAACCTGCTGGAGGGTGAGCGAAGAGTTGGTTCTGACTCAGAGCAATGTTGTTGTTATGTGCCGTCGAGTTGCTTGCGACTCATTGTGACCCTGTGTACAGCAGCCCTAAACTCTGCTCTGTCCTGTGCCAATCACACTGTCTCTGACATTCCCATTCCGATTACCCCAGTTACTGAATCAATCCACCTCATAGAGGGCCTTCCCCTCCTGCACTGTCCCTCCACCCTCCCAAGCATGATGTCCCTCTCCA